CAATACAAATGAATAAGGTAAAGATACTTTATTAAAACTTGCTGATAGCAATCCTAATATTTCAGTAAACTAATTTCTTCTGCTGTTGAAGTCTTCACAACTGAGCATCTATAAACACCTCAGAGTGGATCTTTGCTGTTCAGCACAGCAGAACGCTTAGGCTGGAAATGTGCCTCCTCCTCTTTCTGTGAAATTGTATCCAAGCTTTGCTGAGAAGTACTACTTCTAGAAATAAGCTTTCCCTTTAGTGTTTGTATTCCTCAAAGAAACTTTGGCTGTATGCTAAAATAATTAAGCCCAAATATTCTAAGGTTGGGCCTGTGTTGATGTCAAAGCAGTGTTGGGAACAAGTGCTTATACAGCATCACTTGCTGGAATAAAGGACAGGAAGAAATTGTAGTTTGATCCATATTGCAGTTAAATGTAGTACCATTGAAAAGGTTAATTGTCTAACTAATGTTAAATTTGAAAGTTCAGGCTTCAGGGTTAGAAAACTTTCTGTTAAGGTTTGCTAGGAACTTGATCCTGTGTCATATGTGTTAAGGTTGAGTTGTGTATGTTGAGGTTTTTTAGCCTCAAAAAGGGAGCCTTGTTCAGTGCATGGGGTGGACAGGTGAAGGTGGTGGGCAGTGTAGCTAAGCAGATCAAGTAGTTTGCTGCTACTGATGAGGGGTGGGTTCTGCTGCTCCTTAGTGCCTGCTTTTGGTAGTCTCCGTGCTCTAGTTCCTGTTTGACAGTGCTGTGAACCAGTTTTGTTCACTAATCTAGCAGCAAAGTGAATAGTTTTCTGCTGAGCCATTGAGTCAATTTGCTGTGCAGTCAGGTGAGGATCAGTCAGTACCAGGAATGGTGTAGGACTGCATGCCAGGAGCAGTGGCAGAGGACGGTGGGCAGTTTGGTTCTACCCATCCATGGCAATGAGCTCCTAGTATTGTGTATGCAGTCACAGGGTCATGTGAGTTTGAAAAAGGCTGAAAACTACTAATCAGTTTTTGAAGTCATCTTATCTTTAATTTTCTACTTGAATTGCTTTTAGGGAGCCAAGTTTTACTCTTGTTGATATGTATATTTTTTTTTTAAAATCTTTTAATTCTGGTAATGCATTAAAAAAAAATCCCATTTGGAATCCCCTTTCACTTCTGACTTGCAGGTCCAAAGGCTTTTTTCCTCTCCAGTGGCATCAGTAGCTCAGACCCTTGAAGGGATTGATATTTTGTCTCACAAGGATAGACACTCCCCATTTTGATTTCTGTCTTATTCCCAGTTGCAAGTAGCAGTTCAGGGGTCTCTGCTACTTCCCATTATAGATCCTCTGTTTGTTGGTGTGTGGTTTTTTTTAATATAGCCTTTTGTTCCTTCAGTAATTGTTGCTGTCTTGGTTTGCAGGTGTTTCAGAATTAAAAATGGCTTCTGTTTATCCTTTTTGGTATATAGAGATCCAGAAAGTTCTGTGGAAGAGAAAGGAGTTGTGTTCAGAGATGCAAGGCTGCTAACAAATATTTATTTGGTTCCTAATTGCATGCACCATTTTTGCAACTTATCACGATTTGGGAAGGTGTGTACTGATGAACTTTATTTCATGTATCTGTAAATGGCATAACCTTCGCAGTCTATGGTCAAAAGTGAAAACATTTGTATTAAAATACTTATATTTGAAGCCAAACAATTTCTTTTCAGGCTTGAAGGAAGACTGTGGATACCATCAAAAGAATTATTTTTATCCTGTGGTTAGAGACCTTTTTTCCCCTTTTAAAGGTTTAATGGTATGAAAACAAACACAGAGAATGATAAATGTTCTTCACTTAAAAAATATCTTAGTGTAATCCTCCTTAAGAAGGTTTTGAGTATATATGTGGGCATATATCAAGTTAACTAAAACATTTTTACAACTGGTTGTGCATGCAGACTGTTTTGGATATATTTATGTGAGCTTTGCATGGTTTGACATTGATTTACATTGTGAATGATGCATTTGGGTGTTTTTTCTTGTTTGTCTGTCTTAAAAGTACATCTGCTTTTGAGACCATGGCTTTGCTCTTTTAAGTGCTGTTTACTGATGATTAGCATAGAACAGAGTACTTCTATGGACCTAGCATGATCGTCTAGTCCAACTGCCTGACCAGTTCCAGGCTGACCAAAAGTTAAAGCATGTTGTTAAGGGTGTTGTCCAAATGCCTCTGAAACATTGACAGGCTTGGGGCATCCACCACTTCTCTAGGAAGCCTGCTTACTAGTGTTGGAACTAAAGGTTTTTGTAGGAGTGGGGTGCGTGTCGTTTTGGGTGGTGTTTTTTTTTTTTTTATAGCTGCATCTGTGAAATACGTTAGTTGATGGATTAAAAAAACCAGCCACCACATATCACAGGAGTTGCTGAATGAATGAAATTGTTAGTCTGTAAAACTTCTCAGAAGATAGAATCAGAGGCAGGGAGCGGGACAGACCCAAGAGATGAAATGAGGTGATCTTCATTCTCGTACCGTAGAAATGGAAGCCAACAATTTTTGAGGTAGTTTTGCACAGATACAGGTTCATACCCTTCTTTTACATGAGTACTTTACATTTCAACTAGTAATAAGAGGATGTAATTTAATAGCTGGATGTTCAGCACAGATGTGCAGGTACTGGTATCCAGTCTTAAGGCTTTCTTTGGTTAATGATAGACATGCTAAAGTATGAAAGCACAATTTGTCTCTTGCTGTAGCAAATAGCTTCTTGCTTGATACTTAGAAGTTGTATTTGTTGCCAGTTACGTTAGTTCTGATTGTACCATGGTGAATATAAATTTCCATCCTGTCTGTGCTGTGTGCGAAGCCACAGACCTGAATGACTGGTCTCTACAACAATCTGAGCTCCATCTGAGAGCAAGTGAAGTGGGTTGACAAGTAACCTCTGCTTCCCCCTGCCTCACCTTGCTGCATCATTAGCGCTATAATTCTGTGTTTTCTATGTTCAGACTAGTATAGTATCTAGAAATGTTTGAGTTCTGTATGATGTCTATCGCTATAGCAATGAGTGTTCATGTTTGGGGTGAAACATTTTTAAAATGGCAAGTTAAAGCATTTTTAGGAGTTTGAAATACCTGTAGACTCTTGGATGCTCTCTGGCTGTGTATTCCTGCGGTCAGGAGGAGGGAAAAAAGTCATCTGTTCTGTAGTTCGTATTTTGATGTTTGGGTGGAGATGTTTAACCCTATAATATGGAACTTCCCACTGTCATAAACAATTTCTTTGGTTTTGTTTCTCCCTGAAAGGAACTGGTGCCATAATGACACCATTAGAATAATCCAGAATGTCAATAGTAGGTGGTTTTTATCAGGTGATGTTTCACTCAAGTACCCTGGCACAGTCAGTGAACTATTCTCAGGACTCCTCTAAGATTGAAGTAGGTGGTTGAACACGCGTTGCTGCTCTTTCTGCTCTTCCCATGCCCACTAGACTGAAAGACACTGGCAGAAGGAAGATGTTAATAACAGTGGTGAGTATTCCATCTGCCATATGAAGCAGTCCTTTTGCAGAGGCCCACGCTGGTTTCATATTAAATTTAGCCTAATGAAAGGACAGATTTTCATGAGGATACTGTGCCTTTTGGCAGTTGAACTTAATTAGCTAAAAGTGAAATTGTGCTCATACAGTGTGCTGTGTTAAACCTGATTGAGAGTGAAGGCAGTCTTTGTAGCTTTTAGCTGTGTGGATTAGGTTAAATCCTAGAGTCTACTTCCTTGTTTGGGCAAAGAAAGAAATGAGTGACCTCAGGGCACTTCTTCCCCCTACAAGATGAGAAGATAGAGGGATAACTAGCTTGCTCACTTGCCTCCACTTCAGAAATCCCAGAGGTATGTAGCTGCTCTAACAAACATCAAGAGGCTGATGGGCAAGTGTCTTAATTGCTTGTTCTTTGCAGTGTCTGCGCTTTCCATATCCAAACCTCTTAATTATCAGCAGGAGTGTGTGTTTCCATGCACCAGCAGTGGTGTTGTTTGGGTTTTTTTAAGGATTCTTTCGAGTTACTTGGGCTGACATTTGGGAGCTGAAAGTAGTCTGCTGCAGCATAGTAGTAACCACCATCTAACTTCTGTGAATTTGAGATTACTTAGAAATTGTGTATTTAATTCTAAACTTCTGTGTCTGAACCTGCTGATCTTGAATTGCTTGTTGTGAATATGATTTTGTGCTGTAACATGGCCAGTAATTTGGTCTATCAAATTGTGAAATGATTTCAACTACTAGACTTCAAGGCAGTGTAATGGCAGAAGTTGGAAAAAAAAAAAAAAACAACCAAAACACTTGAAGAAAAACACTTTAAAACCAGGGAGAACATTTACCTTGGGAATCACTTGAAAATATTATTACTTTTTTTTTTTAGTTTGCATATTATATAAACTTGAAGCTAGTTTCTGTTTTGTGATGTTTTGGTTCTCAGTAGTTGATTGTGTGTTAAGGTTTTGTTAGTTTTAGTTTGTGTGTTTTTTGGTTTTGTTTAATCCATTTTTTAGGATGTATCGGGTCAGTTTTTAGATGTTACCACATGTATTTCAACAAACTGTGTTCAGTTGTGGAAGAATGACTATGCAAATTCATCTAACAAGACAGGTTCTGGTAGTGGCATCTTGTGAACAGTTTGCTGATGGTGGTTGATATTAACTGACTGTTTATAAACCCCTTGTTTGGCAGTGTTTGTTGACAGCTGTCATTTTATGTCTCTGAACTTTCTGATATAGTAATTGCATATGACCAGTTAAAGGGTATGATTAAGGACTGTGACTCATCATGAAAGCAGCCTTGGGATACTTGTGTGGTTTTTTTTGTAATTTCCTCCCCTCATAGCTTGTCTGTCAGATATCTTTTAGTGCTGGTTTTCAGACAGATGCACATTCTGACCGTTGGTGTCAGTCTCTGGCCTTTGTGTACCACAGTGAGGGTTTTGGTAACTTTGAATCCTGATGTTTAAATACATATTTTGCATGTGAGGGAACTTAAGAGATCTTTTTTTCCTCTCAACAGGTGGGAAGGAGAAACCAAAAACCAATGCAGAAGAGCTACAGATTAAAAAAGTTAAGAAGAAAAAGAAAAAGAAACATAAAGAGAATGAGAAGAGGAAGCGTCCAAAAATGTACAGCAAATCCATTCAGACCATCTGCTCAGGATTGGTTTCTGATGTTGAGGATCAGGAAGCCAAAGGCATCATAGATGATCATCTTAAGGATTTCAATGGGAAAAATATGGATCCCAAGAAGGACTGTGAGTCCAAGATACCAGAGAACAGTGAGTTTCCATTTGTCTCGTTAAAGGAGCCACGGGTTCAAAATAAACTCAAAAGGTTGGACACATTGGAGTTCAAACAGCTGATTCATATTGAGCACCAGCCTAATGGAGGTGCATCAGTTATCCATGCCTACAGTAATGAACTCTCCCACTTATCTCCTGTGGAGATGGAGAGATTTGCAGAAGAGTTTGTGGGTCTGGTTTTTAGTGAAAATGAAAACTGTGCAGCTTACTATGTAATGGGTATTGTTCATGGGGCAGCTACTTATTTACCTGACTTTTTAGACTACTTTTCGTTTAATTTTCCCAATTCACCAGTGAAAATGGAGATTTTGGGAAAGAAAGATATAGAGACAACGACTATGTCAAATTTTCATGCTCAGGTAAGAGGTTATATGTTTTACTTTCTAAAGTCATGTCATCGTTTCAAACAACTGTGAATGGTATTTTTTTTTTTTTTTTAGAATACAGTTACTATTAGCTGTGCTATGTGCATGATGCAGAAGGCTAGAAACAAGGGAATTCTTTAAGTTCTGCAGTATTAAAGATAAGGAGCCTAACTGAGACATAAAATTGGCTTTTGTGGAGGAGGCAATATGCTTGCGTGTGTGTGTGGGTTTCTTTGGATTTATTTCTGTAACTGAAGTTTAACCATGAGTTTGGGAGAATTGAAATGATTTAGCTGTGGCCATCTGGGCATCCAAACTGTGGTTTGTCTGTATGAACTTCCTGGTAAAACTGAAATGCTTTAATACCTTAGAACAATGTTATATGTAAAACCTGTGTAGGGTACAGTTCACTAGTTACATTTGTAGTTTGAGGCTTTTAAATCTGTTCTTAATGGAGAACTTCATGGTGGTTAATGTGGCTACTAGTTTGATCCTTACCCTTTTGCATTTCCCCCTGTTAGCTGTATTCTCTTGAAGGCTGTTAAATGACATGGGGGGAATGGTAGGCAGCTTTTGAATCTTTTAAAATTTAATTTTTTTTTTGTTCTCAGAGTGACTGCTCTTAACAGCTACTGACTAAATATCACCTCTGCTACTTATTAACTTGCTGTAGGAGAAATGTTACTGTTTCATATGAATTACTTATATTTTAGGTCAGGGTTTGGGGCAAAAAAAAAAGCTCTTACCCCCTTAGATTGCCACTTTGATGAGGGTATTTTGTAGAACCCATAGAGATATTCTGAAACAATTTATGAAGAAACTCAATCCAGTTATTCATTATATTAGCTTCAGCTCACAATTGCCTGTTTAACTCCCTGTTTGTGACTTTGGATGTTTTATGGAATGCATTTTAAGCTATTTTAGTCTTCAATTCTTAGACAACTGTGAAGAGTTCAAGTGTAAGTTATAACATTTCCAGTGCTAGTTAAGAAAACATCTACTGCTGTGGAATATCAATATTCTGTGAAATATAGTCACTACTTTTTTTTAGTATATAAACAGAATTGTTACCTGAATAGTTAAAATCACAGAAGGAGGAACAGAGAGAGAATGTAGTAGATGGAAGAAGCCAAACTGTTGTTACAGCATTCAGTCGGTCAACTTTGTAGCCTGTCTTGTAACTTACATTTCACTTGGCTGGAGATAGAGTTCTGATATCTTCTTTTCCTTCTTTCCCCCCCCCCCCTCAGTTTTTCAGTTAGTTTTCATGGTGTTTTATCACTTGTCAGAGGCTGGTTGCTTGACAGAAAATTCTTGGCTCCTTGTGTTGTTGCTAACATAAAGGGTGTAGTGTATATAACTATTGCACACCAGACTTACTTATACTGTCTTCTGTTTAGCATTGCTCCTGCCTGTAATATTTTTGTCCTCGTGTCAATATCTTGGTTGCCTAGCTTTTGATTCTAGTTTTCTTCATTCCATTTTTTCTGTCTTTTTCTGGCTGCTTATTTTGTCTTACTCAGGTGATCTGCTACAGTCAAAAGGTTTTGCTGGCTTAATATTCTTCTCTCTGGCTGGGGCCAGTGTCAAAGATGTCTAGGAAGGAGTATGAGAGTCTAGTAATCAGTTATACTGTGTGAGAGTGCTTGTCCTCCAGGGATGTATCAGGACCTTTTAGAAATCTTTGGGTGATTCTGTGACTAACTTTCAGCTGTATTTTTTGTGTGTGTTTAAATTTTTGATTCATTAGTATCAGTTACCTATATTTTTCAGTTTTCTGCCTCTGCCTTCCTTTATAAAAGGTACGAGATGATTGCATAACTTAGGTCTTGTGCATATTGATAATATTCTCCTGTCTTGCTCAGTTCTTTTTGAATCTGTTAAAGGGATTCTGATGTCCTGTTGCAGTATATTTCAATGAAGTTTTAAATATAGTTTTCTGTTCCTGCATTGCAGGCGCTCTGTGCTATTGTGTGTGTTGTCCTGACCTGTCTGAGTGATGTCTAGCAGTTGTTGTGTAGCCTTAGTTGAAAGGTGTTGCTTTTTGATGCCTTAGGAACTTAGTTTTATCGAGTCTGCTTTGACTATCTCTCAGCTTTCTTTAGCCCTAAGAAACTTGGGCATTTCTTTGCTAATTTTAACTAAAACACTGAAGTGAGGCTCACTTTGGTAGATGAGTTTTTTTGGTTGTTTTTGAGAACTCATTGTAGCACATGTTATCAGTCTGACAAACGTAAACATTTAAAAAGATCTTAAAGTATTAAAACAATAAAAAGGCAGGATGCGCTAAGCCCGAAATTGAAAGTATTATTGAATATTTTATCATTTTTACTTCTCATGCTGATTCTTTTGGTACTGCCTGATGATATTCCAACTCCTGTTTTGCAGCAGATGGAGGAGTTGGTGGTTTTTTTTGTGTGTGTGGTGGTTTTTTTTTTTTTTTTTTTTCCAAGTAATATTTTCAAGTTGCTGAGTTTTGTGGTAAGGTGCAGAGTCCACAGTAAATTCTGTTGGTGAGAAAACTATCGGAGTCCTCCTAAGCCTACCTGGAAAGTCTGCATCTCCTGAGTAATTGACTTAAGTTTTGCAAATGTTGCATTGAAACTTAACTCCTTTCAGCTTTCCAATATACCTCTGTCAGACAGAAGTAATGTATTTTCACTTAGTAGAATATTAGAAGTGGGCAGAAGCTTATTAGAATAGAACTGCCACAGGAGAGAGAAGTCTGTTGGAACTGGTCCTGTCTCATCAGAATTAGCTTTTAAATTCTGTGGGGAGAGGAACTGGAGAGTTTTTCATCACCTAGCTTGGATCTATTAAGTACTCGTTTATTCTTAATTTTTTTTTTTTTTTTTTAATTTAGTGGAACAACTAAGTTTCTATGAGCTGTCTGTAAGGCTTAGTTAGACTGCTGCCTGTAATTGGGCAAAACAGAATTAGTATGGGTATCCTTGTAGCCAGTAGTAAGTCACTCTTTCTGATGGTGGAAAGCTGTCCTCTGTAGGTGCATCCCTGGTCTCCATCTCATGTGTTGGTGGCCTGACAAGCACTGTTGATAGCTGTCAGGAACACCGTCCACAATCACATTCTTTGAAATCCTCCTAAAAGCCTGACAAGCACTGTTGATAGCTGTCAGGAACCACTGTGGACGTGGTTCCTGACAGCTATCAACAGTGCTTGTCAGGCTTTTAGGAGGATTTCAAAGAATGTAAGCAATCAGCTTTTGCCACCACCTCCTTGCAGTTTACATCACTTCAGTTAAGCTATTTAGTGCTGTTGGGGCAAATGCTTCTAGTATTTTGAATCCATTGCTGCGTCCTTGTGGTGGGCAAGTGTAAATTTTTGTTGCCTTGTGGAAACCTGGAAGCACACACTTCATGTTTAACCATAACAGTGCTCAGTGGGTTGATTCGTAATGTGCTTCAGTTGTGTCCCAGAGGCAATTTCTTAGTACAGATGAGTAAAAGGCTGAGCAGTATCCAACAATTCCTGGTGTTACAAAAGAAGATTGACTGTGTTTAAGCTCTATCTGACAAATGCTTGAATGATATGCTTGCTTGAGATCTCTAGGTGATTCCACACTTCCCAAAGTCTGTTGAAATATATTTTTACTTATATTTTTTTTCTTGTTTGTTCTCTAATCTTAATCCTCCTGCCAGTCCTTTTATTCTTATTGTCAGTGGACAAGGCAAGCAGCTTATGCTTTTCTTTCAGTGCTCTCTTCTTTGCTTAACAGCTTCTTTTTTTTCCCATTCCTACTTGAAGTAGTTTATTTCAGTCTGCCATTGCGTGTCACATCCTTATCGGTCTTACTGCTCTCCCTGTATGCTCTCTTCAGTCATCCTTATTTTTCTTAAGCACAGTACTGAAAATGGCCAGTGTCTGCCTGGTGTATTGTTGTCAAGGAGTATTAAAAGATTGCTTCAAGTGTCTTGCGAATTACTGCTCATTGTCAGCTATTCTTGCCTTTTTCCGAGCAGTTTGTGATCTGCTGTAGCAGCAGCCTCTGCTAAGTGAGTCACTCTCCTTTTCATGTTTATGCAGTTAGTTATATATTTTTGTGTGTGT